CACCCAACGCTCATCCCACGGTGTCACCCAACGCTCACCCCATGGTGCCACCCAACGTGGTGCCCCCCAACGCTCGCCCCACGGTGCCCCCCAACGCTCACCGATGACGCTCTTGGCGAAGGAGGTGCGCATGAGCGTGGCGAGCCCCAGGTCGCCGATCTTGACGGAGCCCGTGGGGCCCGTGATGAAGATGTTGTCGCACTTGAGGTCGCGGTGGATGATGGGCGGCGCGCGCGTGTGCAGGAAGTGCAGCCCGCGCAGGATCTGCCGGCACCAGCTCCGCAGCACCTTGGGCTTCATCACCTTGAAGCGCTTCAGGTAGCTGCCGGGGCGCCCACCGGGGACCTCGTCACCTCCCCAGGTCCCTGGCACCTCCCCAAAGCCCTTGTGACCTCCTCAAAGGCCCCATCACCTCCCCAAAGTCCTTGAGATCTCCCCAAAGGTCCCATCACCTCCCCAAAGCCCTTGTGACCTCCCCAAAGTCCTTGTGACCTCCTCAAAGACCCTGTCACCTTCTCAAAGGTCCCATCACCTCCCCAAAGGTCCCATCACCTCCCCAAAGTTCCTGTCACCTCCCCAAGGACCCTGTCACCTTCTCAAAGCCCTTGAGACCTCCCCAAGCCCCTGTCACCTCCTCAAAGCCCTTGTGACCTCCTGAAAGGCCCATCACCTTCCCAAAGGTCCCTGTCACCTCCCAAAGTCCTTGTGACCTCCCAAAGCCACTGTCACCTCCCCAAAGTCCCATCACCTCCCCAAAACCCTTGTGACCTCCTGAAAGGCCCATCACCTCCCCAAGTCCCTGTCACCTCCCCAAAGGCCGCCCATTATCCCCAAAGCCCCCCCTTGTCCCCAGGCTCACCCACGGTGCCCACAAGGCACCTTGCAGTGTCCCAGATCCCCTCGCCTCGTCCCCAAAGCCCTTCAGTTTGTCCCCAAAAACCCTTGTGGTGCCCCCAAAGCCCCTCAAGTCCCTCGTGATGTCCCCAAAGCCCCTCTTTGTGTCCCCAAAGCCCCCCGTGGTGCCCCCAAAGCCC